AACATAAGTTTCTCCAGGCTCATCCATGTTGTTGCAAATGGGAGTATTTCATTCTTTTTTTGTTGCAGAGTAGCATTCCATGATATATATATTTCCTTATGCAATCTTCCATTGATGGACATTTAGGTTGGTTTCATGCCTTCATTTACAACAGATCGAAATGCCCAGACAAAGCATTAAGTGGAAACCCTCTGGTCTCTGCTGCGATTGTAAAAACCTAGGTCACTGGAAAAGAGATTTCCACAAAAGAAAAAGGGCCCTGAAATTTTTTTCTCAACTTCCTCCATCCCCACCAGAAAATCAGTCTCAATGAACTGAACACTTCCTAAGAGTCATCCATTTTGGAAATGTAAATTTAGGTTTTTCTAGCTAACAATTGCTTAAGGTGATAGAACAATTAATTAAAGGATTGATATTCTGAAAGTAAAAGAACTAGATAAATGTTTATAAAAGTTAGGCTCTGAGATCAAACAGGTACTAATCTTGAGCTCAGAGAAAAAATATAAGTAATTTCTGTCCTGCATAAAAATTGTTTTGTCTGCCACTCAAGGAACAGAAACAAAGCAAAAAAGAAAAAACAAAATCACCCGTAAATGGTTTTGTTTTTTTGGGGTTTTTTGTTTTTTAAAAATACTTCCCTGCCCACACCCACATTGAGTATTTCAACAAACCNTCATCCATTTTGGAAATGTAAATTTAGGTTTTTCTAGCTAACAATTGCTTAAGGTGATAGAACAATTAATTAAAGGATTGATATTCTGAAAGTAAAAGAACTAGATAAATGTTTATAAAAGTTAGGCTCTGAGATCAAACAGGTACTAATCTTGAGCTCAGAGTAAAAATATAAGTAATTTCTGTCCTGCATAAAAATTGTTTCGTCTGCCACTCAAGGAACAGAAACAAAGCAAAAAAGAAAAAACAAAATCACCCGTAAATGGGTTTTGTTTTTTTTTTTCCTTTTTGTCTTTTTTCGTGACCAGCAACGGATTGCAACCCTCGGTGTCGCGCCCGCACCTCGCTCAGCCAGTGAGCGGCCGGTCTGTATGTGGGATCCGAACCCTCGGCGGGAGCGCTGCCGCACTCCCAAGTGGCGCACTGTAGCAGTGCGTCACCGGGCCGGCCCCTGGTTTTTTGTTTTTTAAAAATACTTCCCTGCCCACACCCACATTGAGTATTTCAACAAACCAGACTGGTAAACAAAAGAAAAATGTGTTGTTAAAGATTCAAGGCTGCTTGAATGTTTTGGTTTTCTTATACAATTCAGCTGCTATTAGCTAAAATGTAAACATTAGAAGTTTAACACTAAATTCATTTGAAAATGAAAAAAGTGTTTTACCTATTGGGGCAAATAAAGTTTATCCATGTAAACAGGTACCATTTTGTCAGAAGTAGAATTTAAATCCAAGTGTCTTTATAAATCAGTGAGTTTGTATTACTATGTTCTACTGTTTCATGACTAAAATTAAAAACTTAAAATGAGGAAATCTGCTTCTATCCATGTGTTTGTGTATTTGTCTCTATGATTTTATGCTGTGTATGTAATATCTTTTATCAAAATATATGAAAGAGCTATGATTATTTTTTTAAAGTATGTAAACCAAATATTTTATCAAAAATGTAGTAACTAACTCAAATGTTTTTAGTTCATGTGACTTAAGTAAATCTTTGATAAATAAGCTGGTTTTTAAATTTGTGGATAAAATTTTTTAAATGTCGGGGCCGGCCCGGTGGCGCACTGGATAGTGCGCCGCTTGGGAAGCGCGGCGGCGCTCCCGTCCGAGGGTTCGGATCCCACATACAGACCGGCTCCCGCTCACTGGCTGAGCGAGGCGCGGGAGCAACGCCGAGGCTTGCAATCCCGTTGCTGGTCCCCGGTCCAGTACGGGGGCAACACTGAGGGTTGCGATCCGTTGCGGGACACGGAAAAAAGACAAAAAGACAAAAAAAAAAAAAAAAATT